CTTGTGAAATTTGCATAATCATGTAACTTTTGTTATAAAGTCTATGAACGACTCTAAAGTCTTGTACAAACTCATAAAATCAATATTACAGTGTGATAAATATTCTATAAAAAAGGATCTTCTATACACATATTAAAGAATAAGCAATCAAATCTTTATATCCATAATTTCATTTTTTTTATTTGCTTCAATATACATGTATACACTTAATAATTCTACAACTCCAGGGAGGGGGAAGTCCGGACCCCCCCCCCCCTAACTGCGTATGCTCTTCTTTATTTCCATAAGCGGGAGACACAAATTCTCTGAATTAGCTTCTTAAAAATTGTTTTGTTTTGTTTTGTTTTTGTTTTTTTTTTTTAAAAAACGACTATTTTAGGGAAGGCAAAACATCAAAATTGAATGAATTCTCGAATTGATTGATAAGTAACATTTTCTGTTGGAATTTTAGAAGTAAGTTATATAATTAATACTGATTGTTTTTCCTGTGCTGGAATGCAGTGCACCGTATTGCAAGGTCCCATAACGTGGCCAACCAAGATAAACTTAATTAATTTTGGTTTTACATGATCTAATTGACAATAAAGTTCAAATTAACACCTTTTCTACATCACATTTTTAAAAATTGTTTTTGAAAAAAAGGATGGAATGGAATTATGTTTGTCTATGTATCTTAATATGATGGTCCTCTTTATAAATCCTGAATCACCAATCAATCAAAATGTCAAAAGACTTTACGAAGAATTTACAAATTGCTGATTTTTTGTTGAATGACCAAGTTTGGGTACATGTGAAGTGTATTCACTTATTCGTCGGACGTATCAAAGCAATGATTAGAATTGTGGAGCATTTAAATGCCCTATAAGGTCCTACTTAGTAGCGCATGTTTAGTGGGATAAATTCACACTAACAAGAGAGTTTACCGTTAGTCAATCTGAGGTTAACACTTGTTAGTCTATGAACGACTCTAAAGTCTTATAAAGTATACAAGCTTGCTGTTGTTTAACATTGACTTAATATTTGCATAATATAAAGCAGAAAACAATGATCGTTATGTCTACGTTGATCAAAGGGACATCATTTGAGTTATCGAACGTTACATTATGCAAATTTCACAAAATACAACCAATCACAAGCAGGAATTGTATAAAGGAGACTTTTTTGGAGGGTGGATGGTGGGGGATGTTTAATTCCATCTATAAGTAGAGTACTACTGAGTGTCTACTCTACTCTACTGCACAGTGTTACAGTGAAAATGCAATACAATCTCTGGCAAATTGGCTTATCAGTGGTTCTGAAGACATACATGTAAGAATGCAGATATGCACCAGACAATTATCAACATACTTACAGAAAGTCAACTTGATTCTCGGCTTTTGATAATCTTATTGTCAATTCAAATGTCCAAACCAGAAGTCACTGAGGAGACTGTAGCTCTATTGCTTTGAGCTTATCACTGTGGTAGAGGAAAATGAAACATTTATATTTCAGTTTTACTTGTACAGAATTATGCATTTTAATGTTGTTTTTATTTACTAGTTACAAATTTAACTAAAATCCCCCATAACTTATGGAAGTGTGGCATTTTAAAGGGTTTTCAAAAATTATACTTTTTGTAAAAGCATGGCAACAAAAATCATCATTTTTTTTCTATTGAGAATGATATGCACTTTTAAGTCATCCAGTGACATTCATATCAGAGCTATAGGAATCTGAGACCTATTTACCTCTTTTCTGGTTTCCAGTATTTCAGATGACATTTATCAGAGTATTTGGATTTTGACCTCTCGATTCTCTGTTTTCTCATACACTGACAGTAATATTTGACCTTTTCAGTAAGTTTCAAGTGATTATCATTAACAATTACCTTCAATAATGCACCATTATGAAGCATTCTAGATGTGATCATTCCAATCATTGCTTAACAATAATAATAATTAAGTGATAAAGAGATATACATTAATATACTAAAAATTCTAATATTTCTGGATTTTATTGGAAGAATACACTCAGAATATTTATCAAATTATTTTGTATTTAGAAACAAAAAGAAAGTTAGTCATTGTCATGTTTTTGTCAATTTAATCTGTATAAAGCATGTCATTACCAAGTCTAGTAAATCCATAACAAAATACACTAAAACATACTTATAGCGGAGTGCCAGGGATGAGGTACAATTTTGATATGTAATGATGCAATTAGTTATATGTTTTAAGTTTAAGTTCTTAAATTTGCTATGGGAAAGAAAATCACTTCGTTGAAAGTGGGAATTCATTAAAAGCTAGTGTGTTCTCTGTAACCATGTTTTACTGCAATGAGAAACTGTAAAGAAGTCTGGGAAACCTACTGAAAGAAAAAGAATTTTGAAAAATTGTTTACAGACAGATAGACAAGAGACATCTTATCAGTACATAACATCTGATCTCAAAAAAGTTATTCATAGTAAAATTAACTGTGATATGAGACCAGTGATCACTGATTGAAATACATAAGTTAAAAAAAAAACAAATATGCTGTAGCGCAGTAATAAACTAAAGCAACTTTTTAAAAAATGATTTTATTGAAAATACTCAGTGTTCTTAAAATTTTTTTTAATTCAGACTGGATTGGAATGGTTGATTCCATTGAATGATTGGAATGTATTTGAATACCGGTATATGTTAATATGATGTTTCTCTAAATTATAATCAATAATTAATGTCAAAAGACTCTACAATGAAGATACATATTGTTGATTTTTTTTTTTTAAGAATGACTAGTTCTAGTATGCAAAAAATCGAAAAAGATGTGCATTCTCCTGTTTGATAGATAAGTGAAAATTTTGTGACTCATAATTTTGAGAGCTCATCAAACAGCACATGCTGTGTTGGGAGTGAAAAGCATAAAGTAATGTAAAGAACTTCATGTTATTTAGTGAGTAGTGCAGTACAGTCAATGATGATAATGTCAATTGTGATAAAAGTATTGATTAGTCCTGACTTTCACCACATGACCAAATCTTTCAAAAGTGGAGGTGGGAATTTTTTTTTTCCATTTAAAAGCAAAATAATTCTGCTTGCTTATGACATGCTACTGTGCCTTGTTCCAATGCAATGCACAACTTGTAATGCCTGGTAAATTGGCCAATCAAAATGATAAAGTTGCCACATACAGGAAAGTCATGTAAAATAAACATGCTTGTATCAGTACTTGTTGACAATTGTGCATATAAGAAGTTATTATTGTGATAAGGAAAACAACTGAAAATAAATAAATAATATTTCACAAACACTAGTAAAAATATGAACAAAAACAAAACTGATTGGGTTGGACATCATATAAACATGTATGTGCTCACACAATACAAAACAGAAAGTTAGGATAATACAAAACAGAACGTACGTGACGACGAAAATTGATATACATGTATGTATATGTAATGTCCCACAATTAGTGAATTTAGTTAAATACTTTATATGACTGGTAAATCTGAACCTATCTGTGAGTTATATTTTTAAATAATTATTTACATTTGCTGTGTTTTTCTACTAAGCCGTGAAATTAATTTGAAAGCCATTTTTGTGTAAACTCACACGTAGAAATATATACGGAGAAACTCACGCTAAAGTGACGTTACAATGAGGCTACAGAGACGTTAATAAAAATATGACGATATAGGGCAGTGAGAAATTCAAACATTGAGTATATTTCTGGTGCATTTAAGCATGTAAAATGTAAATATAAGGAATGTTTAAAAAAATTTATTTCACATAATATTTCACATACACTAGTAAAAATATGAACAAAAACAAAACTGATTGGGTAGAGGACATCATATAAACATGTACATGTATGTGCTCACACAATACAAAACACTTATTAAAGGTCCCTGTGGTACAATAGGTATCTTCAGAATTAGGAATTGGCTGTTGTAGCAGCATGCCTGCATTCCGCTTGTTTGTCTACATTATTTTTTTTTACAATGTCCAAAGTTTTAATTGTGTTGGGTTTATCCACTTAAAACATTGATTTCAGAAAACTCTTAACATACACAATATTCATAAATAAACAAACTGCAAATATATACACAAACTAAAAACTTTACATGGTCTCCCCTTTTTTAAATACATACAATAGCACTTCATTATGATAATGAATCCAATTAACTTAAGGTAGAACCTATGTCGGAAAAGTCTTTGTCACAAGATTTTCAGACTTTTCAAAATGATAAATTAGCACTTGCTCATCAATCAGTTAAAAATATATGGTATGTTTTCGAATTCCTAATTATTAAATGTAGTGCAGCCTATGCAACTTGGAATGATAATTTTACACTATGACTACATATTTTCAGCCATTTTTAGGGGCACTGATCATAAACAGAATATAGAAAATCACAAAAATACTTTTTCAAACATCGTCGTTTATAGACTTTATTAACTGAGTCGTATTAAGCAATATTATTCAGAATAAATTCTTTTTTATTCAATTGACATAAAAGATTAAGTCCACATTTCAACAAATATAGAGAAATGTGCTCAATATTTTGAGTCAATATACCACCTAAATTTGTAAATATTTTTCAAAAGTCTTTGTCAAAATGTTTTCAATTTTTAATATGATGAAAAACATACCCAAATAATTACAAAAAGTGATTAAAATATATACTTTTACCCGCAAACTAATGAGAGACACTCTATTTATCAATACTTCATTTGTTGACCTTTTTTGCACTTATACACAGGATAATTAATGAATGACTGTTTTGGGGTTACATTCAGATTTACAATGTGAATATTTATCACAAAATGCAATTTTCTTTTTTAAAAAGATAATATTTAAGGGAAACATTATCATTATACACCAACCATTATGAATATAACTAACTATATAACTATTCAAATAACTATGAAAAGGAATGCATGTCATTTCATGATAGACATTACAAAATTTACACACAATCTTTAAAAGATCTTTGACTCAGACACATTTCATCAAGATATTGAATTATTCAGATTTCTTAGGATTTTTGCATTCCTTCAAATAGTTCATGCCATTCACATTATCACAGTTGTTTAAATTCGTTACATGAGACAGTCTTGGATTAAAGATGTAAAGTACAGGAAAATGTAACATTAAATTAATTATGACATCATAATGGATCTAGCATCAAAAAGACGGACTAAACGCATATACTCAATATGATGTCATACAACGTAGGTTCTACGTTAAGCACAGTACTGTTCAATTTTCTGGATCACTTAAATATAATATGATAAGCCGGATAGGCTTGGCTGTCATGAAATATCACAAACATCACAGGGTTACTGGGATTATCGGAGGCAGAATCGTAAGTCTCGTGACTTTTTGCACCAGGTTTTTGAGGAAGTACATTCAAGCTCCCGCTCCCTTGACAAACTTCACCAGTGGCAACTTGGACGGAGAAAATATGTCTGAGTCCACGGGAGTCTGCAGTACAATAACCAACAGAATAGGAGGCATTTACAGCAAAATAGACACCGGCTCCACATGATGTACCTATGGAAAATAGTTAGTAATACTGTTAATTCAGCTGTTTGATTGGTACCATCACGTTTCATTAAGTACTTGGGATACATTTTATAGAAGAACTTTCTCATATGTTTATACTGAATAACTTTGTGTCATACCCTATGAGCAGAACTCTTAGCGAGGATTCAATCATGGAATTATTAGTGAGGGTTTTGAAATGGCTAAAATTGAATATTGCTAACAATGTATTTGGTTGTTATAGTTACAGATATACTTCTTGACATTATAAAATTGCTAAATTATTATCTCGCTAAAAATATACATTTTTTGGGGATATATTGCTAAATTTGGATCTCCCTAAAATTCACTTTTTCGGTATGAGCTTCTGAGTGTGAACTCGCAATTCTATATACACTCCCACCCACCCCCACTTAATACACACACAAAAATTTTAATATTTGCCTTGGTTAGAAGGGATTCAATAGTCAATACAGTATGTAATATTTTTAAATTTACCATGTCTGCCACAGTAACTCCTGTTGAATCCATTGTTAATAATTTTATCGACTGTATCTGGATAGGTTCCATGCCACAGCCATTGCTGGGGGTCTTTTCCGTTCTTCACTTGGATTTCTTTTCTCTTTGCTGCATATTGTTGATAGAGAAATGGATTTTGTACTCTTCTTATCTGAAATATTGAGTACAATATTATAAATTTTTAAAAATTAACAAAATCAACATTAATATTGTTTCCTTTTTGAAATCCATGAAAGTAATTCAGGATAAATAACACAAACAAAAATATTGATGCATGGATTGGTTCATATTTTTTGACTAATTTTGATAAGAAATGACACAAATAATAAATTCATAAAATAAAAAGAAATTCTAAGTATTCTTTGGTGTTCAAAATTGAGACCTTATGTTATTTTCTGTATGAATCTATACATTTTTTTCACACTTTATGACCTTTATACAAAATCTTACACATTAATTTCTCTGGCAAAAATTATTCAAATTATTTATATGCTTATGAAAAAAAATCTATAAGACTCTTTGTGTTATTAAACTTAGGGAGTGTTTTGTTTATCATTATTTAATTCATATATATATATATATATATATATATATATATATATATATATATATATATATATATATATATATATATATATATATATATATATATATATATATATATATTATATTTGTTTACAAATGAAGATCATTCTTAAACAGTTGCTATCATTCTTCATACACATTGTTAATTTCCATACATATAAAGTATACTTTACTTGTCAGATGTTTTAATGAAAAAAAAACCAATAAAAATTAAAGGAAAGTTTAATCATGCCAAAATTCTAAAAATTGTTTAAATAATCCTCAGAATTAGAAGAAAAGACGAGAAAAAAAATTACAAAACCCCAAAGCAAACTGGTTTGATAAAATTATACATGTATTTCTACTTTCTGGATACAGATAACATGTAATGAAGCTCATCTCACTGAAATACTAAGTATGTTAAATTGTAACCCATACAAAAATGTGATCTTTTCTGCTAATTGAAAATATTTGAAAACTTATGTCTTTATTTAAAAAAAAAACAGAAAAGTTTGCCTCTGGTTCAGTACATGTACTAAGTTTTCCACAGAAGGGATGCATCCTAGCTAATTTGTTGTATATTCAATGTACATAAAAAGGGGGAAATCAATTTTTATATTTGCACTTTATTAAGTTTGGTAATATTGTTTTTATCCCCATTAACTCTTTTGTGACATCAGTACAACTCTTACATTTCAAAGATAGCCAAAATTTCTTTTTGCATATGAATATATGTATTGGTTTTTTTTTTTAATTTCAATTTTGACCCTTGTGGCTCTGGGGACTTTTAAGGGTATGGTTTAAAAAATCAAACTCATTTGTCATTAGTATAACAAAATTAATCTTGCAAATTCAATTTCAAGAAATTTCAACACAAAGAGCTCTCAGAGATGCAAACACATGGGTGGAAACTAGTCATTCCAGTGTATCATTAATCAATTTCCAGGCTTCAGTGACACATAGGAGAAAAAGAAAATTGTCTTGAAGACTTTTTTCTCTCAATCAACATGCAACTTTTTTTCCTTTTAAAATCAACTAAAATCCCACCTCAATTATACTGGACACATTGTATGATGCAGATAATTGTGTCTGTAGCATCCTGCTTAGTTTCTATTTCATAATAAATTCAAATATATTTGAATATTTTTGGAGAAATATTTGTCTTTGTCAATCACAAATATGGAAAAACTTAGGAAAAAAATCTGTCCCTTGGGCTTGAAAATTAGTGGTGAAATAACTGAAAATGCTCACAAAAAATGTCACAGATTTCACAAAATAATTGGATCTACCCAGTTTTAATATCTTCATCAAAGTTCATCATTTAAAAAGTAATTATACATGTTTTATATATACATGTATAGAGAAAATAATAAATTTAAATCACAAACATTATTTTATGAAAGGAGAATAAAAGCATCAATTATGCATTTTTATTTGAAAACTGATCAAATATATTTTGAGATTTAAAAAAAAAAACACTATAGGTACTCAGGCACCCCAGAAAAAACTGAATTATTTTCATTCTTATGTTCTATGATTTTCAACTGTAAAAAAAACTAGAGAGGACATTACCTCTGTAACATTCACCCCTCCCTGACTAGTGGCCTGAAATCTCTGAAGAACCTGTTTATACTCGGCATCCCCGGAATTCAGTTTAACTTCCATCAAGGTCTGATTACTTTTCATTGGGGCCCATTTGGATGGCAAGCCAACAGAAGAAGCCCCTAAAATACAAACTCATTAATATATCCTTTGTGTGGATTTTTACGGATTTTTTAAAGTCATACATGGCATATTTTTGATAAGTTCAGACGAACTATAATTAAAAAGATCTTTCTATTTGTTTTATTACTTTATACCGGACACCTTACTATCGCATAAGCTCTTCTGGTCTCTGACCAGTAGAGCTAAAAATTATACCTTATTTTTTAAGTAAAAAAATCATCAGATAAAAAAGTTTAGGAGCCAAGAAAAACCTCCCTCACCTCTGTCTAATCTTTGAACTTTGAATCTTTTATCTTTTCTGTTCTTCTCAAACTCCTCCATTTTCTTGAAGTCAATGATATACTCAGTTCCAGTCCTGTCTTGTATAATACAGGATCTCTCCTTCTTCAAATGAGCAGTTTCTATCTGGTAGTTGACATCCTCCCTGAAGTCCATCCATTTATTATATGAGACCTCATACTGCCATTTCACGTATTTCCCTATCCTGGAGGCATTCTCCTTGTCTTTTACTTTGTGTATATACTCATAAATAGCTACTGTTGCATCATGGACATTGGTTTTGAGTCCTTCAACTACGATATTTTTAGCTTCAATGGTAACCTCAGTGTCTTTTGCAAGTTTCTTTATTTCCTGTTTCTAAAAATAAACCAATTGATAATAAATTCTTCCTTTGTTACAAACTAGTTGATGTATTTTGGGACAATACCTATGTGTATCTAGAAATTTAAGTGATCCTTTTTAAAGCATTGAAGATTATTGCATGTCGCAACTCGCAAAAATTAAATTAAAATTATTTCTTATTTTAAACCTTCAAAGCAGTTAATAGATACAATTAAAAGTTTTCTACTATAGCTTTTCTGTTTGGTCTGTTTTTATTTCATTTATTTATTATTATTAAAAATTGTTTTCCTTCTGCAGAAAAAAAATAATTTATCAGCCAATTAACCTGATAATCAGCTAGTGTGTGCTTTGATATATCTATCTCTGTCCTGCCAAATTCACTATCAAGCACTTCATCTAGCTTAACTTTGGCCTTCTTAATGTTGTCTTTGGAGTTTGACAGAATCAGAAAAGTAATCCTGTTCTCTGTCTGCCAGCTTTTCTGACCTCTATCATTATGGTCATGACCCTGATGACTTCTGTGACCTCTGTTACCATGGTCATGACCCTGATGACGGTAATGCCGATGTCCACTTGAGGAGTCATCTTCGTCTTCATCACCTGATCCCATGAAATCTGAAAGAAGTACAATATATCTATTTTACTCTATATTTCACAGATTTGCAATTGAGATAAAAATTAAATATCCATAGATAATTCAGATTAATAAAGTTGCACTGTATGTATATGTCATGTGGAAAGCTGGGAAGGTGCTAAATCCTGTCTTTTTTTTTCTTTTTTGAGTAACAGAACAGCACAGTATATAGATCAGATGCAGCATCTAGTGCATGTGACAGAAGAAAATATCCAATAATGCACTAATGCATTGGTTTGGCTTACTTAACCATATGAGCTAGGAACACACTCCTTCACCATTCAAGTGCAAAATGTATGCAGGATCTTGCATCAAGCAGAATCTCATACAATGCTTGCATATTTGGTTTTACAACTCATGCTGTGGATACTGGCCTGGGTAGCTCAGTGGTTAGAGCTAGTGGATAATAAATTTGTTTTGATTCCATTTCCCTTTAACATATGACAGAAAGTGAACAAAAGTCTGACATCAACTCTGTCTACTGATAAACAAATGGATTGACATATTGATGGACAAATATGGTGATTCCAATATGAACTCTCTTACAACTTTGGTATGAGGGCACATCAAATGATAATATATGGTTATTTAATGTCTGATCAGTCAATAGACCAGAATATTTTCCCATTGGTCGTTGGCCTCGAGCAATAAGCAGCACAGTTAAGGCTGCAATAAGGAGGTGGGGCCTAATTTTTACGGGAAATGCTTAGTATGACATCACACAAAAATACATGTTCTTCAAATTACCACAAAATGAAATGATACGCCATTTCAAACTGTTGGATAGCTTGAAACTACATCTGTTCAATACTTACTATTGCATGCATTTTTGTCGTTGGTTAAATCCCACACAGCAGTATATAAACAATTCACTGATCGCAATGCACTTGTCAATGTGACGTCATATCATAAAATTTGACGCAGTTTGTATGTAGTGAGAGGCGGATCAAGTTGTATTTTATACAATGAAAAATGTGTTTTGTAATTAGATAAAATATTATTTGCAGATATATAAGAGGGCATTAACTTGGATGCGATGTCTATTTTATGATTTTATTCATATACTTCCCGTACATTCCCTAGACAAGTGAAACTGTAGTACGTTTGTATTCAAATTCATTGAAGGGTAACAGAAGGGTCGTAATAAATCGATATATTGCAAGGGCATACCCTCAATGAATTACGACAAGCTTTTACACATAAACTTAAGAGGTATGAAGATATTTGAAAAATGCTGCGAACCTGATGAAATCTTGCAAATGAATTAATTATACAATGTATCTACATTTAATGTACTTGACCAGCAAAATATTCAACATACGGTCTAACAAATGTAATTTTAGCAATTATATAGTAGAATCTATATAGGTTTGCAGCACTTTTCACAAACTACAAAGAGTGTTGAAAATAATTATAAATTAAACTTAGATTTTTAACTTGGTTAAGCCCTTGCAATATTGGAATTTATAGATGACCTCAATACTGCAGGTATATTTGCTAAAATCACGTGACTGCCACATTACGTGACAAATCTAAATAAGAAATCTAAACGTCCTCAACATGTAGTTTTCAGCCACATTACATTTGTCTGATAATAGTAAAGGCCTAAAAAGAATCGCCCATCCTTGTAAAGAATGTATTTTCTGTCTAAAAAATTCGCCGATATTTCCATATGGCACCTTAACTGTACTGCGTAGAACATATTGAGCTGTTCTCAGCACCAATGGAAAAATATTCTTGTCTACTGACTGATCAGACAATAAATAACTGTTTTATTACCTAATATCATACTGTGTATATGGGCACTGTCCAATAGATCACCAGTCCAAAATTTGCAAACTGGCAGTCAATAGATTGCCGGTCAAAAAGTCTCAAACTATTGTTCAATAGATCATCTGTAGTTTCTTAAATAGTTCAGAGGAATGAATATACAGAGAAATAGTCAAAAATACTAAACAATTAATAAAATGGAAAACTCAGTTCCATTAGGTAATGATACTATGATATTCATGTATACAGTAAAACACATATATGAGAAACACTTTCATAATGAATTGATGCTTACAGTATTCTCCGTGGCTTTAAAATATATTGTAAACTTAATGGATATAACGAATTACGTTTATAACAAAGCAAAATCATCCATCCCCAGTACTTCATCATAAGGATGTTTTACTGTACATGTATTTGCATGAAAAAAACAAATACACCTCCTCTATCATTATTGATCCATTTATCATACCTTTAAATTTTCCTGATACGTAATCTTTTGCTTGAGTTAGGTATCCTTGAGGGAGAGCCTTTAGTGTAGAAAGAAATACTGAATACATGTCTCTCTGGAAAACGATCACTCTCACTGTCTCTAGATTCTCCGGTGAACACTTCCTCATGGCTTTAAACATGTATTTGGCAATCTCTTCTACATCGCTACCTCTCACCCCTATAAAATATTATTGAAAACATTATAATGGGTGTTGCACAATACTATTATGGACAATGGACAACACTTTATTTGAGTTTTGCAACACTACAAAGATAATAAACAGCACTTTAATGGATGATATACAAGACTTATATCCAACAAGAATATATAATTGATGTTGTACAACAACATACATGTAATGGATGTTGCACACTATAATGGATGCTGCAAACTATAATGGATGTTGCACACTGTAATCATTATGGATGATTGACAACACTATAATGGTGTTTCACAAGACCATAATGCATTATAGACAACATTAAAGTGGATGACAGAACAAAATTTAATGGATGATCCACAACACTATAATGGATGGTGGTCTACAATATACATGTACATGTGCATATGTAATTCATGATGCACAACAACTATAATGGACTGAAAAACTTTATTTCTCTCACCTGTTCCTAGAGCTGGGAAGGATATGGACCTACACCCTGTCTTGTCAGCATGAGCCAATGCCTTGGCTACCATACGCTCCCACCCCTCTGCCGATCTCTGGGCCTTCACATGAATGATGTACTTACAATCCATACTACCTCCTGATGTCACAAGATAGCCTTCTGATGAGAAAGACTGGGCTACAACACATAAGAAAGCATTTGAAAAATGTATAGCATAGCATAGTATAGCTCAGCATAGTAAAGCATAGCAATGTATATAATAAAAATTTACCAAATTAAATTGTTTTTATTTGAATATAATGTCTTTTTATATATTATAGGGTTACTGAACTTACATTGGTGAATATTGGCACAAGTTGGCTGAAAAAATGCACGAGCTTGCGAGTGCATTTGTAAAGCCAACGAGTGCCAATATTCACCAATATAAGTTCAATAACTCCTCTATTATACAGCTAAAACATTTCCCATTGATTTATATTAATTATTTCAATTAAATAACCAAAAGTTAATAAGAATTTATCAGTATTGGTATTCAAATTAAAACTGTCCAATATCAGCATCTTTCCTGTAAGTGTTCATCAATATCACATCATTCCAATGACCCCACCAAGCCTTATGTTTTACTTATTGACAGAGGTCTTTTTTGAGGCTAATAGGTACTTGATTATAAATGAATAATTTAAATTCTGTGTGAAAATAGACACATCTTACCTGGCTCAACCGTTCACGGTAGCTCAGTCGGTAGAGCGCTCGCTCCGTGATCGGGAGGTCGTGAATTCGAATCTCGGCTGCGACTGACCTAATTCGATAAAAAATGGGTAGCAACTGTTCCTTCGCCACTTGCTCGGCACTTTGAAGTGAAAGTTGCGGGTCCTTTGGATGAGACCTTAAAAACCGAGGTCCCGTGTCACGACAGGCGTTGGCACGATAAAGATCCCTCACTGCTCAATGGCCGTAAGTACCGAGTAAAGGTCAAAATTTGAAGCCCTTCACCGGTATATGGTGATGTATCTATATGAGTGAAAAATTCTCGAATGGGAAGTAAAACAACAAACAATCAATCCATCAATCTTACCTGGCTCCACTACTCTTCATAAATATTGTTGTTGAGTGGTTGACCAGACATTTTTTGTTTACAATGGGGTGCTCAATATTGAACACTCATATTCTGAATGTTTCAGGACATACTCATATACGTAATGCAAACTCAGTGTTCAATAAAATGCCAAGATATTGAACACTAAAATTCTCTAGACTTTTAGTAGTTTTTTTTTTTTTATTATAGACTTTTTATTAGCTATATAATAAATATCCTTTCTGCACATTCAAAAATTTACATCTATACTTTAAAATGTTTTAGGTTGAAAAACTTGCACACCCCTTTATTATTAAATACTGATCTCTTTTATAAGTTTTATTTTTTGACAACAACTTTTATTTCAGCAGAGTTCAATATTTACTTGTTGAAAGATATTTTGTTTTTGTTTTGTTTTTTGTTTGTTTGTTGTTTTTTTTTTAACAGAAATAACATTAAATTCCATTTATTTATAAATTTTATCAAAGAACACAATAACACTGTCTTGTACAACTTACCTCCCCTTTTACATTCTGTCAGTATTCCATTACCAGCTGCCTTGAGAATAGCCTTAGAGGCAGCACCTTCAAAACATTGTAAGGCACTTGTATACAATTATTTCATAAATGAAAAGTAGAAACATTTTTTTTGTGATTTGTTCCAAAAAATTCTACAAAATAAATAGCTATAAACATGGACTGGGCTTACTCTAATGAAATGAACCATTTTTCCCCCTTTGAAAACCTTAATTTAGATTAGATGACCCTCATTCACTTTGTGTGCATGTGCTCTCTTGTAAAAAGAGACCACTGTTTGCAGAATGAGCTTCCAATATTTCTCCATCATGCAAAAGTATGAGCTTTAATTTGATGTTTCCCTAATACAGTCAAATTTGGTAATAAAAGAGTAGCTTATAAGGAAATCTTGTTTTAATATAGGGAACTTTTTATGAATCCCATAGAAAACTATGTTCCATTTACAGATATCAAGCATATTTGTTAGGAGGAAGCAAAATTCAAGACTCCAGTGAATTCCTTATGGCTGCCTGTAGAAAGAGGTGGGATGGGCAAATAGAGGACAGAAAGACAAGTTGATTCCTCTGTTTGGAATGGATATAAAATTAATACAGACTGACCTTTAGTTAGATCCATACTCTCTGTTATACTGTTGACAATAGCATCAGTTTTCTCCTGAGTTATGTCCCCCTGTCTGACTTCTACATTCAATTTATTCAATTTCCAACACCTCTCTCCACCTCCTGTATCTTATGAAATAATTAAAAAAAATTATTTCATCAAATTTCTTCAACTGAAGTTAAAAATTTAACAGAAAAACTTCACAATAAACCTAATCTACCTGTGGATGATTTTCTCTCTCTTCTTTGTCTGTAACTGGGGGGTGGAGCCTCGGCTCCTTCACTTTCCGATTCTCTTTCTTTCGTTTTGAATGCCTGAACAAAATAAATTTTTCCAATTGAAACTTTAGGTCCTACCACGTAATGTCTAGAATAGTCATCATGTATCTGCTAGCACCTACTCATTAAAATACAGTTTAAACACACTGTGAACCAACTTTTATTCATGTGCGAGAAATATCTGCGAGTTTTGCGACCTACTTTAACTCGCAAATATAAATCGCTGCAAACCATTTATTTTGCTTTGTATTTGTAGAGAATGTTTCCTCAGTCACAAAGATTAATCGTCACAGAGTGATTTCAAATGGATGAATCGCGAATAAAAGATGACGCCAATAATAATTGGTTTACAGTATATGTCTATTACATTTTCAACAGTGAAATACTGTTTACATTATTTTCCAGTCTGTGTTCTAAGACTGCCTCAACTTAAATTTCAGACTCATCTAGGTTAAGGAGAATAACCTTTTTAATTTGCCATAAAAAGTTTATAGCATGAGTGTTGTCCCAGAAAACACAATCTTTTTAGATACATATACATGTATCTCAGAAAATACCCGACCAAAATTATCATTTTTTTAACCTTGCTAGAAACTGATATTTTTATTATTTTTACTTAACATTGTGAAATTTTAATATCATATGAAAATAGAAACAGCATTTAAAGGATGTAAAATATTCATAATCAGCACATGGCAATTTTTCACTTTTAGAAATAGCATTGTCATCGAAGTTTTTAAGTATTAATAGATTGTATGAAGATATAATGTGACAAAATTTACATCGATTAAAAACAGGGGTATTCGATGGTAGAGGTGATTGGTAGACCCCCCAAATATGACAAACTGAAAAGTCAGGAGTTTGATGTCATATAAGAGACTTTGTTTATCAACTAAAATAAAATGAAGTCATCAAAATTTCTGCATCAATAAAATCTTTAAAATTTGATAGAGAAGAGGCAGAATTCCTGAATAAATTTACAAAAGCCATAAATTAGGTTTTGACATTATCAGTGTTGGGCCAACAGCTATTATAAATGTTAGATTGGTTTAACTAAGAGGAAAATATTATTTATAGAGATATTTCCTTGATATTTCTATGTAGTATTAATGAAACAAAAAATTAAATATAAAAAATTTTCACGTTTTTCTGGGACAACCATCATTTAAACAATTAACCTGACAATATAAACTTCTACAAAATTAACCATATTCCATTGCGGTCTTACTGAGAGAAAAAGGGGGGGGGATTACCTCAAGAATTTCTGCATCTTTATGATAAATTACAAAGAATATTTCCTTCAGACTGCTGTCTCTGTTTTTACTGTGAAATTCTCTACAACACTTGAACATTGTCTTTGCAGCTAGTTCTGGGGGATAGCCCAGTCTGCCTGTTCCTAGGGCTGGGAAGGCAATGGAGCTCATCTGGTTTGTGTCTGCTATTCTTAGACACTCTTTTACAAAATCTGTTAACTTCTGAAAAAAAAAAAAGAAAAAAAAAATGGTTGACTTTGCTTAGGCTAGATTTCTTTACAGTGAAAATCAGAAGTGTCTGACAAAACTGTAGCTCTACTGGTTTGTACTTATTACAGACAGAGAGAAGTAGACAGAGACAAGACAAAGACAAAGCAGAAACAAGTAGCACTTTGACTTGAAACTATGGCAACAGCAATAAATAGAATAATGACCTTTACAAAAGGCTTTGATTAGTCTCTGTTTGAGGTAATATTCATTGCAACCAGAAAAAAACCCTAGGAGGAGGAGTGTTTTGAAAGAATTTCACAGAAATTTCTATTTTCAGTAACCATGGCAACACCATTCAATGAAATCAAAATTTGATAAACAGAATTATGTATCTCAGTGTAGTCTGCTTGATATGTAGAAAGTTTTACCGAAATCAGTCAAAAACTATTAATAGGCCCAAGTAGCATTTTTATGAATTTTGCGTAATTTTTATTTTTAGTAAGCATGGCTACACCAATCATTGAAATAAAAGAACAATTATAAAAAAGATTTATGTGCTTTAATGTTGTCTACTTGTATAAGTCATACTGAAATCAGACTATAACTGAAAGAGGAGTTGCATTTTGAAAAATTGTTTACAAACAAACAATCAGGGAGACAGATGGATGATGGATATTCTCTTTAGAGAAGTGGACAGGCTTTCGCCTACATCCATGGACGTAGGCGAAAGCCTGTCCACTTCTCTAAAGAGAATAAAGTTAAAGCCTCATTTTAATAAAATAATTCTCAATACACAAATGCTTATATATGCATATATATTTAATTTAATCATGGTAAATGTGTCATGAATGTCGTTACGCGTTATGAGCAGATTTTTTACTTTCCAAATCTGATCATGACCAGATTTTTACATGTTGGAGGTTGGCAAGTATGTTAACCAGTAGAGCTAAAAATATGCCTTATATTCTTTTCTTGCCTAATTAAACATACATAAACATTTACATATCTATAAAACATTATACTAGAGATTAGTAAGAATCTCTAATTACAACAAAACATATTTGGAACAGTCTTCCTACATAAAAGTTTACTCATATTTCTTCATCAAATTTTCAAACTAATTAAATAATGACTTGATATATTGAATCATAATATAATATTACAAAATGATTTGGCTTTTCCTGATGGTTCAAGGCAATGTTTTACTGAAATTCTCTTTATGAGAGTTATCTATATTTTCACCAAACTCACCCCGAGAGCATCCCCTTTCCAATGATCCCATCTTTTGATTGTCCCATGATACACCTGTTTACACTTGAGGTTGCCTCCCTTTGTAATGGCTACTTTCCCCGGCTCTATTCCATGTTTGTACTTTATTTTACATTCATCTTGGAGAGATTCTCCGCCAGCTCTGCTCAGACTCTTAGATATGTTACCGATTGACAGATCCAATGACTTGTCTGCAGAATTTACTATTACGTCCACCTATCAAAGAATTAATTTTATACACAATACAAAATGTTTTACTTTGAACAAAGGATAATTTTCTTTCTATTCTTTTCTTTTATGATGTCACACAGAATGGTGCATTTTCATTATCATTACCCACATTTAACTGTTAGATAAACGGGGGGCATCAGTTATTCAAAAATGAATTAATAATCTAGTGAGGTATACCTGTACAGTATACTAAATGCTCATATATTGGGTGATATCTTGTTAGTAACTGAAAATACTATCAACTACTGCATACAGGGAAATGTCTGTTTTAGTTTCATACGTTTAACCCTGGAAGTGGAAAAATTTAAAACAGGGTAAACTGAAAAAAAGACAGCATGAACTCTTTAACAAGACTGTGTCTGGGCAAAATTAAATCAGGGCAAAATTGAATACAAGTGTCAAGGGGTGAAAATAATATGGAACAGAAATAACCCAGTATACAGTAATACTTCTCCATAAAAGAATTCAGCTGCAAATTATTTCTTACTTACCTTAGCACTATTCCTAACCAGTACAAATTCAATGTGATAAAGTATTTATCATTAAATAAATACAGTCAAAACTCGTTATCCTGACCAGGACTTCCAAATCACTTCGACATATCCATGGTATTCGAGATATCAGTGTTCGAGATACCGAAGTTCAACTATACCACGAATGGCAAATGCTCACTAAATAACAGGCTCTTTTCAATACGATAAAAAATAATCTACAGTCAACAGAAACTAACACACAATTCATGGTAAATGGATGACCCATCCTCATTTAGTCGAGTCTCTTAACACATGGTAAATGAATTACTAACCTTCATTTTAGCCAACTCTCCACTGATGACTTTTATTTTCTTTCTATCACCAGATGAGGACATTCTCCCCTTCTTTCTATCATTTGATGAGGACCTATTCCTTTTCCAAAGAGACTCCTCGTCTGAATCATTATCTCTGGATGGCAACTGCTCACCTAAAAATAACATGTTCAGCTGGTAACTAGTTCTCAACCAAGTAAATGCACCAGTTTTTGGACTGGTCAACTAAATTTATGATAACATAAATAATTTTCAAAAATATTTTTGATATAGGGGTATAGAGGACAAATAGATCTTTCCACGGATTTTTCAGACTAGACTTATTTCTAAATTAACAATTTACTGGCTAACCAGAGTGTACCTTATCAATGTTAATGATTTATTTTTTTTTTTAATTTTAAAATTATTAATTCAATATTTATATTGTTTTTGACAGACCTTCATCTCCATTGAATTCTTTCACATCCTGTCCAATCTTTCTCTTCAAACAATTGATAAATGCCATCACGATCTTGTCATCAACATCACAGAAGTAGATTTCCTTTATTTTGGAAGACTTGCCCTCCTTGGACTTGAAATGTAACTGAATAGAACTGACAATAGTGTCAACTGATTGATCCATGGGATACCCGAAAATACCAGCACTGAGAGCAGGGATAGCTATAGAGGAGTAGTTATTCTTGTCTGTCAGTTCCAAACATTTTAAAATAGCTTTTCTGAGTTTCACTTCTTCTTCATTAGTTCCTCCCTGCCACTGTGGTCCAACAGCGTGGACCAACATTTTACAAGGGAGATTACCAGATCTTGCTGGAACAGCATCACCATCTGGGACAGTTTTATTAGACTTGATGTAGTCATTACTTTCTTTCTGAATCGATTCACCTCCTAGACAATAATGAGTGACAAAATTAAACTATGTGTAAGTTCAATTATAATGATTACACATCATATATCACTCACTGTTTAAATTGTTGAGATTACCAATAAAATTTAAAACATTTATACCTGTACAAAAATCTGGCCAATTTCATGTTAAACAAGAGGCCCACGGGCCTTATAGGTCACCTGAGTATCATGTAACAACTTTCCAACAATTGAATTTGGTTCGTATTTTAAACCAGAGGCCATGAAATTCAAAATTTTGAAAGAGGCACCATTGCTCATCATAACTATACACGTAGCACACTTTAAGTTTGATCCCTAATACACAGAGGCAGAGTAGGGGAACAAAGAAGAAATGCATTTCCATTAATCAGTAATAATCAGCAATAATCAGTAGTGCCCCCAACCCACAGGAACCCCTGACCCTGGGGCCACACGTTTCACAATTTTGGAAAAGGCACCTTTACTCATCATAAATGCTTGATTAATACCAAGGAGCAGATTTCAAAGCATTAATTCATTTTCAGTATATAATCATAGGAGCTCCCACCCCCCAACCCAGCTCCCCTGACCCAGGTGCCTTGAAATTCACAATTCTGGAATAAGGATCCTTGTTCATCATAACTAAATACTTAGATCATCAGCATAATACCCAGTAGCAGAGAAGAAGATTTTCAAACAATTCATGCAGTTTCACTATATAATCATTAGAGCCCTGCCCTAACACCAGAACCCCTGACCCAGGGGCCATGAAGTTCACAATTTTGGAAGAGGCATCCTTCCTCATCATATCTATGTACAAAGTTCAATTGTTTAATACCCAGGAGCAGAGGAGAAGATTTTCAAAGAATTCATGCATTTTCACTACATGATCAATAGAGTAGCACCCTAACATCAGAACCCCTGACCCCAGGGGCCATGAAATTCACAATTTTGGAAGAGGCATCCTTCCTCATCATAGCTATGTACAAAGGTCATTGGTTTAATACCCAGGAGCAGAGGAGAAGATTTTCAAAGAATTTATGCATTTTCACTATATAATCATTAGAGCTCCGCCCTAACACCAGAACCCCTGAACCCAGGGGCCATGAAATTCACAATTTTGGAAGAGGCATTCTTCCTCATCATAGCTATGTACATAGGTCATTGGTTTAATACCCAGGAGCAGAGGAGAAGATTTTCAAAGAATTCATGCATTTTTACTATATAATCATTAGAGCTCTGCCCTAACACCAGAACCCCTGACCCTGGGGCCATGAATTTCACAATTTTGGTAGAGGGCTCAATGCTGATTACAATCATGCCAACAGTTTAACTCCTTGATGTCCAGGAGTAAAGAAGAAGATTTTTAAAGATTGCATTTATTTTGATGGTCTTAGCCCCACCCCTCAGACCCCAGGGGGGAAGGGGCCATGAAATTCAAAATTTTTACTCCCCTTCACCCATAGATGCTATATGCCAAAATTGGTTGAAATTGGTTCAGTGGTTTTAGAGAAGAAGCTGAAAATGTTTAAATGTTAACTCAGGTGACCTAAAAATGTACTAAATGTGTTCCAAAAACTTACAATACAAATTTTAAATTGAATTGAAATTCTGAATACTCTTGTAAAATTTTTTAGTCTTTTCTTCAAAATTAAATACTCTTACCTGCTCTAGAAATAGCCAGAGCCAGACCACCACAGTGATCTAAATCTCCATTGGCTGCATTCACGATGACATCAACTGTCAACTTTGTTACATCACCTTTCATAACAATCAACTTTTGACTACCAATATGTAATTCACACTCAGCCATCTTGACTGGCATTTTTGGCCTTGACCTTGCACCATGCCTCTCAAATGATCCACTGCCCCTCTCTTCTTTCTTATGTCTCCCTCCTTCTTTATTCATGATGATACAGGAAGTGGCTTTACCGGTTCTTTTAATGGCTTCCCTTCCTTTCCCTGAATTGAAGAAGGTCTTAGCACCAGGTTTGGTTATACTGTAAGTATCTTCGCTCAGTCGATCAACAAACCTCCTCAACTCCTCCTTGGCTTTTTTGACATCTTCATCATTCCCACTGATTTCTATAGAATGGTCCTCTTGATTTCTGGTAATTTTTAAATCTTTCTCTTTGGCATCCTCTGACAACTTCTTCAACTCTTTTTCCCCAAAATATTTCACATAATTAAACTGTGCTTCTGTCAATCTTACATGCTTCCGATCAACAGAGCATTTCTTAGAATATTCCTCTAAAACTTGTTCAACTTCTGTACATACAGGCTGAAAAATATCTTTAGTGGAAGCGACACGGACTTCAGAACCAGAAGACAAAATGTACATTTTTTCACCATATGATTCTCGTAACTTCTTAAAACAAGCTTGCCATTCTGATGTGGTCAAAACTTTCACTAGCTGTTTTACTTTAATTGTTTTCTCTGGTATAAATTCTTCAAAAAGTTTCAAGGCCTCTTCAACCATTTTCATGTTTGATGATGTCATTTCCACTTTGTCCTCTGTTACATTCCATACAGCCTTGTTGTTTTTCATTTTCATTTCTGCCAGAAAAAGATCTCTCACCTCCTTTGTTTTAAACACTTCATGTCTCCCTTTAGATATGCTTAAAGATTTTGACTTTGTATTCATCAAATATTCATGCATTTTAATCATGGCTTCATTCACATCATTGGGCTTTCCTGTAAAATTTACTTCTTTTTTATCAATCTTAATATCTACGTCTGGAAAATCACTCTTAATCTTCCTCTGATACTGTGTTTTCAAAAGTTGCTGGCATTTGTGGAAATCCAAAGGAACATTTTTCTCAATCTTTTCTTTCTTGGTTTTTATATTAAATTCCTCTGTCCTGATGATATCTAGGATTTTTCTTGTCAGGGCCTCTGAATTCTCCTCTAATCCAACAACAACAATCATGTGTTGTTTGGCTTCCAGTAAAACTGCTACTTTTTCTGGGTGATCAATATTGAGTGTTTTTAACTTTGCTAGGAAATTCTCCCATGCTTCTGGTAAAATTGAGTGTTTTTGGACTACATATTTGTCCACCAAGCTTTCCATGCTTTTCTGGGCTTCTTCTTTCCACTTTTTCAAAATACTTCTGGCATTTTCCACCTCTTTAGTTACTGAGCAAAGCAGCTTGACATTTGAGTCTGATTTTGACTTCGGCCATTCGACTTTTACAAACTTCTGCTGCAGTGCCTTCTCAATTTCCTTGGCTACTGCACCACAATTCTTGACAAATTTTAAAAAGTGTTTATCACAAGGATGAATTAATGAAGGCAAGTCTCCCCAATTAATTGGTTGCTCTGGCAACCCTAGTTGAGGATAAAACATTTGTACTCTAATTTCTTTTCCACTGATTGTAAACTTTTCTCTTGAAGCCACATTCTCTGCATCTGTATCAAAACAAAAATGTATTCATATATTTGTCATTTGGTATCAAGAGGTCCATGGGCCACAATGCTCACCTGAGTAACCTTGGCCTTGTTATTCTCTAGAATATTTTTAAAACAATTTTTCTCCTTTATGTTCACAAGAAAAATATTGAAGCCCCTACCCAAGCCCCATAGGAATGACCAAACCAAACTTGAATCCATACAACATGGGGATGCCACAATATCAAATAACAAACTTGGCCTTGCATGCTCTTCTAGAGAAGGTTTGTTTACTTTTCCTGTATGTATGAATTATGCAAAATTTTAACCCCAAGTTTAGCCCCAACCTAACCCTTGGACCATATTAAAAAAAAACACATTACTAGGTTACATTTGCATATCACTATGACTTAATATGGCCCTGATACTCTTGAAAGGAATTTTACTTTAATGTTCTATATATTCCAATGTAAAACACTGATCCCCCATTGTGGCCTCATCCTACCCCCTGGAGACTTTGATCAAAGAAACTTGAATGTGCACTATCCAAGGATGCTTCCATATAGATAAAACTAATAATTGCCCCCTTGCTGTTCTAGAGAAAAAGATTTTTAGAGATTTTTCCCTATATAATCCAGTGTAAAACTCATATCCTCCACTGTTGCCCCACTCTATCCTCAGGGGGCTATGATTTGAAAAATTTAGAAAATGCCCTATGTCAAGAAGATTTCAGATAATTTTCATCTTTATTTGCCCAATGGTTCTAGAGAACAAGATTTTTAAATGACCCCACCCAATTTTCCCTATTTTTTATTATCTTCCAATTAAAGAGGGCATAACTCTTCATTTGATCTTGAATTCCCTTCAACCAAGGATGTATTGTGGCAAGTTGGCACACTTGTTCTGTAGAAGAAAATGAAATTGTGAAAAGTTTAAGACAATGACAGACACAGACTTTGGCTCAGGTGAGCTAATGATGTACAAATAATTGAAGAACATGCAAGCACCTGTTGGATTTTCAAAATGAACAACACAGTATCCATCTTCAGGATGATAATCCACCTTCTCCACTTCTCCACCTCCACTTCTTTTCTTGTTACAGAAGAAATTCTCCACTGTGTCATATGTGATGGTTTCATCAATTTCTTGGACATAAACTGATCTACATTTCTCTACCATTTGTATAAACAATGTGTTGCCCTCAAGTTTTTTGGAATTGCACCGTTTTGACATATTGGAAAAATCTGAAATGAAAAAAGAAAATCATAACATATGCAACTCAGATGACCTAAAATAAAAAAAAACAGCATATTGGACATATACATGTATCAAGACTTCACATGTTACACAATCAATGATAATTCTATGGTTACCTGGTTTCTCATCAAACACCACTATGACTGTATCAGGTTCTGACCCTCTGACCACATCTATTGGATCCGCCTCTGCAGCTGGCTCCAAAAAATTCATCAGTGTATCATCAGTTGTCACTGGGTTGAGTCTGCTCACCAGAACTTTGTGCATCTCCCACATTTCTGGGTCGTCTGTATCATATATTTCTACTGTTAAATTTGCACCACCTATTTTGTGTTTCCTCTGCAAGCAGGACTTGGCATCTGATGAAATAAATGAAATTCAATTATAATGGGCAAGCTTTTTTTAGCAACAGGCAGTCTGTCATTCCAGACAACTAGCAGTATTTTCTAGCAACTCACTAGTCATTGTTAATCAAAATATGACACTAACAAATTCCAATGACAACAAGCTAATTTAAATAATTTATGTCCAAAAATAAGCCAATTAAACAAAGTGGGTAGAAGGCCTAAACATTGTAAAGGGAGACTGAGAAAAAAGAAGAATTGTCCTTTCACCTTTGATCCGTAAATCAATGGGTGTGTTTTTTTTTCAGTTACACTCATCGTTGCTAAAGCTCAAAAGAACTAAACACCATTTTATGCAACATATGAATTTCTTACTTTAGCTTTTGACCTTTTTGACCTCAAAATCAATAGGAGTCTTCTTTAAGTCATAGGGATAGGAAGATTTATCTTATGTATACTAATTTTACCATGTTCAAAATTGAATGCATGTGTCAGGGACAATTTTAATTATTTTTTTAAATTCACACCATGTTAATTAGTACCTTAATTATCAGTACATCCTGTAAATAATTAAAACATGCATTTCCCTCTTACAAAATTAAAAAATGTCAGTGTAAGTAAATAGTAGATATATATATACGTAGAATTACCACAAGATTGTTTGAATTTGATCAAAGCTTCAATAACTTGTTCATCCTCTTCCTTGATGACTTCAAAGGACTCGATATCTCCTCCCCCAGACTTCCTCTTGTTCTCAAAATAGTTCTCTACGGCATCCTGTGACACTGGCTTCCTTAGTCTTACTCTGACTGTGTCAAATGACTTTTCTAAATAAAACAAATAAAAAAAATCGTTTCCTTTTAAACATACATATTAAACTCCTTGGTAGTAACACATGAAGAGGTTAGTACGAATAGCAGAGATTTTGTCTCCAGAATTCATTTCCAACATTGATATGACTTATTGATTCGTCAAAGATATGGAAATAAAAAACAAGTTCCCTTATGAGGTCATATCAGCATTTTCCTTTTATGTTATAAATATACAATATGACAATTCTACATAAAATAACCAAAATTATTGTAAAAGAAAATTTAATATGATAATTTTCTAGCAAGAAATTAGAAATGTTGCTTCAGTATGATATTGCATTGACATGCATTTTTAAAAAGTTAATTAATACTATACCTTCATCAGTTTCTTCCTCCTCAGGTGAAGGTGCCCTTTCCTCTGATCTACCTGAAGAGGGTCTCTCTCTGTGTGGTTTCTCCACTATCACTTTACTCCTCCTCACTGATGGTTGTTTCTCGCCTTCTGTGGAAGGTGGTGGTAACTCTAGTTCAGGCATGGAAATTCTCTCTATAATGGTAAAATAATGTTGTATAACAATAATTTGGAACACAATACAGTTCTCCTCTAGATTTGCTCCTAGAAGATTCAAATGAAGCCTATAAAAAATATTGTACAGTCATTTAAACTTGAATATTTTTTAGTTCCAAGTTTTTCAAAAGAAAAAAGTTTTTAGCTTGATAAAAGTAACAAGACTCACATGGGCCACACATTTAAATGTGCATAATAAAATGTCAATTTATTCCTAGACCTTGTATTGGGAATGCATAGTGGATAAATTGTAAATTCCAGCTAATTTTATAAGTGACTTATAAAAAGGAACAGCTGAATGTCCTGGGGAATGTAGACATACATAAACAGCACAAAATTTGGATCTTTAAAAACACCTTTCTACCTATGACTGAGCTAAAAACATACCTCCATTTGGTGGGACCATATTTCCTTGCACTGGCAGTTGTGGCATGGGGAAAAAAGGAGTTGGAAAGCCTGGAAATGGATATGGTGGAAAACCAGGTTGGTTGAGTGCTTGTGGTCCAATCATAAAGCCTAGTGGCATGACACCATGTTGGTTTTGTTGATTCATCATACCGTTAGTCTGTCCTGGTGGCATGGCACCATGTTGGTTTTGTGGATTCATCATACCGCTAGTCTGTCCTGGTGGCATGGCACCGTGTTGGTTTTGTGGATTCATCATACCGTTAGTCTGTCCTGGTGGCATGGCACCATGTTGGTTTTGTGGATTCATCATACCATTAGTCTGTCCTGGTGGCATGGCACCATGTTGGTTTTGTGGATTCATATGGTTAGTTTGTCCTGTTGGAGCAATCATAAAACCTGGATTTGGACCTTGATCTGGCCTTCTGAACATTTCTAAATTCTGATACACTGCATCAGGACCCTCTGTTTCTCTATTTCTGTTTGTCTGATTTTCCATTCCTTGGCCTGTTACTCTCTGTGAACCTGGTGTTTGATTTGTTTCTCTTTGACCACCTGACTCTTGATTTGATGTTCTTTGATTACCAGGCTCATGGTGTCTTACAATAGGACTGCCAGAGTCTCTGTGCATCTCTCTCTGGTCCAGTAGTCCTTGCTGTGCTTGACCACCTGGTGTCCTCTGTTCATTTATCACAGCTGAGGTTGCCTGGTTCTGACTAGGGTCTTTGCCATAACTAGCCATACTTTCTATATTGCTTTCAGCATTATGTAAAATCTTGTTAGAATCTTTTTCAGAATTCATTGAAAATCCACTGCTGGGAGTATGTTCTAAAGAATTTCTTCCAGATGCTTGTGAATGGCTTTGTTCAGATTTTAACCCTGGTTGTGGAATATCAGGCTTGGTATTGGTTTTTGGTGCAGACTGGACCTGTCCTGTAGATACAGGCTCAATGTATGTTGAAGAAGACACTTCACTGTCCTGAGTTCTGCTAAGTCTCTGAGGTACAGATGGGGACTCACCATTATCACCACTTCCTGTTTTTAAAGTATCAGCACCAGAAGCAGTAGAGTGAGAATTTACAGGAAATTTACCAGGTGAATTTTCCTGGGGATTGATCCTAGATGTTTGTTTTTCATTCACCTGCTTTAAATGTAGAACTGGCTGTGGTTGGTCATAATGACTCCCACTCCTTGATGCGGGTTTCATATAAGTTGAAGAGGAAACTTCCTTGCTCTCAGATCTACTCAGCCTCTGGGGTAGAGGAGGGGGTTCATCGTGACCCAGATGTGAGCTTACTGCAACATCATTAATAGTATGATAGGGGTCGTCTTCATCATCTCTACTCTTTGAAGTCATAGACATATTCATTGTGACTTCATCGCTGAATTGTGCAGGTTGAAAGTTATCTGTATTTGCTGGAGGTGACATGGGTGTGTAGGTTTGTGTTTCTTCAGTTGATGTTATGTTGGTAAATTCCATTTCCTCGGTACCTGGATGTTGTGACTGAAGACTAGAGTATACATGGGAATTATTACTGTCTGATAGATTTAACTGACTGTATGGAGAACTTATAGCAGGTATGACAAAGGAAGGGACATATTTGTCTGTGCTTTCCTTTTCTTCTGGTTTTTCTGCTGATATTGGTTTTTCCACTTTCACATAATCATCTACCAACAAAAAGCACATATGAATTATCTCCGACATTTTATGAAACAATTTATGAGAAATGAAATGAGATGGGTTCAATCCTGGAAAATAAATGAATAAACAGAATGGTAAACTTTTTTTTGGCTTTTTTTTTAGTTTGTGTAATGATCAGATACTCTGTAGCTTTTGTCATAATTACGTAACAATGATTCCTGTCAAAAACTTACTGAGATGTGATGTAAATATATTAACTGAAACTTGATCTTAACAAGCAATGATGTTAAATTCAGAAAAAAAAAACAAGTTCATGCAGCTGGTAAAAATACAAGTACTTTATAAATACGATACATTTACATGTATATCATACACTTCTTTTCTATAGTGAATTGATTAACAAGCATTCTTCAGCTTTATCAGATAAGTCACCATTATAAAAAGATACAGTGTAAATATGTATAGATGATATACACGTATTTATGTGATCTAACTATAAGTATGATTATGGATTTTTTACAAGGAAGCACACATAATTACCACATGATAATGCATATACCGTAAACTTGGTTGGTATGATGGGTTGAAAAATTTGACATATTGGAACTATAAAAGTCTACAAGCAAATAATATTCTCTTTAACAGCAAATGAGATATTTGAAGAGTGGAAAAATTAATACTATATATTAACCAATTGTCAATTTCATCAAATATTCTTAAGTACACTGTGGGTTTATTGTAGGAGGGGGGAAGGGGGGTTATTGAGACTAAGCAGTACATTACACAATGATTTTGATCTACAGTAACTACCTGAACCTTGCAGCAATGAATCTCGCGTCATCCCTCCACCTAGTCATGCAAAGTTTACATTTCAAAAAAGTTATATTGATTTGATTTTAATATATATTTTTAAGTATTACATTATACATGTATATAGATATACCCTTCAGACCAATCTCTCTGTGTAATAAATGTATGACAGAATGGAAAAGTGTTGACCAGTGCTAAGAAATCAAAACTATCAAACAATGTATTATCTTTTCAAACTGTACGTGCTTTCTGCAAACATACCTGCTACAACATACAGTACTACACAATATGGTTTGATATGTGGTAAACTGGGCTGTATGGAGCCAAACTTACCACAGAATTACTTACTAAAAATAATTTATTTAATTTTGCAAATATCTCTTGTAGATTTTACGATAAAAATGGTGAAAGTTATATATAGAATGTTCCCTCCTATATATACGTCACACTTACCCAGGTTTTTGCTTCTCTCTCTACATCTTATACTCTTCATTCCTATACTGTCTTGCAGCATTTCATCATCAAAAGACAACTGAAAGCAAAAAAAAAATTATCATTCATCATGTTAATAGCACTGATAACACCATATGTTTTAAAGTGCATGGTAAAACCACTTCAAAAACCATCATATATTTTGTTTTCTTTTATACAGTCATTCCTAGTATCAGAAAAAGCAAAAGAAGGCAGAACAAATTCTTTTATTTACAGTATTCGTATAGGATGTGATTTAAATTACAGTTGAACTTCGGTATCTTGAACACTTATATCTTGAATACCATGGATATGTCAAAGTGATCTGGAAGCCCCAACCCCTTATTCTTTTAGTATTTTACCCTCAATATCTCAAATCCTCAGATATCTCAAAGTTTTTTCTCAGTCCCATAAAGTTCAAGATAACGAGGTTTGACTGTATTTGGAAATCTAAGTATTGAAATGCATTTTGTACATGTATACAATCAAAATGATGTTATGTCACATTAGATGGGGAGTCACAGAATACAGGTAAAATATAATGAAAGATTCTAAGAAAATTTAATGGTCACACATGACAGAGAGTCATTAAATACAGGTGGTAGTTATGACAGTTTTGACTGTATTCATATTTTTGTTTAATTATAATCATAAGAATTTATTCTCTATTAATATCTATCATACAGAGCCATGCAGTGTACTTAATAATCTTGACCTTTTGATTTTGACCTGAAACCTCAAAAGGAAGGGGGTCTCTTTTAATTGCATAAATTTTTTAAAAGAAGTTTGCATGGCTAATAAAAAAATTCTCGCTTTTTTTACCACAGGTAAGTGTGTTCATGTAAAATATATAAAAAAAAACATTTTGACCTGGACATAGTAATGAATTAACTCAAAATCTCTAAGTGTGTTTCTCCAACCACAGTCCACTGATGTTGTATTGTTTATGTGGGGGACACAGATTTATTTGGTCACTTTTGGTCAGGTTCAAAAATCAAGGTATTGAAAGGATCTCATCCTGTTGATGTTAACAGATGAAGAGGCAGACAGATGGGCAGACCCAGGGCATTCCCATCTTGATGCTGGGCCCTAAATTTGCCTATCATTACATTCAATGTTGCTTTATTATCTACTCCTCTAAGTAAATAAGCATCAGTGCTAAAAGTTCCAAAAAGATTTAGTAGAGCCTTGTTATAAAATCAAGATGCCTGTGTTCCAAAAGTAATCATCTGGATTAATGAAGCATCTGGATTAATGAAGCATCCAGATTAATATAGCATCTGGATTACTAAAACTGAAACCTTTCATAATTGGTTGATATGAATGTAAATTCTGCTCCCCACAAATTTTGTCCAAATGAGAAACTTCGTAATTATTGGCATTCTGGTCAACAAGGATCAACTACGATAACTTCTCGATTTCTTTAGATCAATACTCACTGGGGCACTCAATCTTGTAGGGGTATTCTCCACCCACTCATCTGGAATGATGCATTCTGGACAGCCTCCAACTGGAAGATCCAACTTCTGTCCATCTGAATCTAAAGTAACATGGCCATCCCTCATTAGCTTTTCTGCCTCTGAAAATTTCAAATAAAATCTGATATGAAAATGTGAACGGCCAATAAAGAAAACATATATTTGTGTATGTTTGCATGAACATCACTTAATTATTTTATTCAGCAGGTCCTGTATTAGGGTTTTAATTAATTCAATTTTATTTCTTGAATTTACAACTCTATTAAAAGTTTCTCCAGGAAATAGCAAAAAGTTTTTTTTTGTTTTTTTAACTTCATACAGTTCCTGTCAATAAGGACACAATTTGTTACTAACTGTACCATCAAATACTTATTAGAAAAAGTACTACTTTTTTGACAGCCCTAAAACATGCTAATATAAAGTCGCCAGTCAAAACTTCAAGCAGAAAATAAATGCTCACAAAAGTGTTAGTCACATTTCATTCCGGTCTTTTTGTCACATACATGGACAGTACATACTACTATTTTATACTAAATCTTGCATCTTTAGGAATAGATTTAAAAAAAAAAACAGATAAAGTGTACTTTCATTTTGGGATTGGGAATTTTGATCACTATGATTGTCCTAAAAAATAAACTGTGTGAGATGGCTTACATATTGACATGGATATCATAAATCAAATCGTATAATGTGTGTAACAGGAGAGGAGTAAAATGTGACAGACCTGGTGAGATTGGGATTCGAACCGGGCCCCCTGAATTTCCAGTCAGGCCGGCTGGTGCTCTAACAACTGAGCTATATGGCAACTGGCAATCGAACCCATCTGACCGTCACATTCCTCCCTCCTTAAAGGTCTTCAGCCCTCAAAGACACCAACCCAGGCTCTTGACCCTGGCAGGTCTTTCACCTGCCACTTCGAGGGCATGGCACAGCACCAAATGTAACGGGAAAGGAGAAAATATGTCTGATCAGACCAGGATTCGAACCGGGGCCCCCTGAATCTCCAGTCAGGTGGTCTATACCATCTGTGGTATCTGGCCACTGACGATTGAACCCGTCTGACTGCCACTTGTGCATGATGAATATGATTTAGGCAATGAAAGACATCTAATAACAGATTTCTGAGTAAACTTTTGCTGTGTGTCGATTTTTCATATCATTCAACAGAATCCATCCTAATTTTGCAGTACCGGTATATCTGTATCATCTCTCTCTTAGAATTCATCAATGTAAGAAATTACCCCCCACCCCCATTTCTTCAGAAGAAAATAATAGACAGTCATATTTGTTTATCAATTGAATACAAACTTTATAAATCATAAATATAAATTTACCGTCTTGGCTTGTCAACAAGACGATCCATCTTACTTCCCCACTGCCAATACTGAGTTCATTATGGCGGTGGAACTTTTCTACTCCATGAATACTGTAAATACAATCTTCTTCCAACTCCTCTGGAACTTGTTTGACCAGCACACATCGTCTCGATAAAGACTCTCTGCCACACATTTTTATTTACTTGTCCCCTTACATGGGTAACATCTACTTATGGTAAAATATGTACTGTACTTTCGTATTTATCGAGTGTCTGGAAAACCTCTTCTTCTCTTGATAACTTATAGGTGGAATTTGTCTACTTTCGTTTTCCTTTATAGTGATTAAAAGCATCGGCGGATCTAATACATGTTCTTGGAGACGTAACTTTGAACTGTGCTAAATATTTTATTTAATTAATTCATTATCATTGCTGATGAAACAATGACAAAGATGTTTACATTACTATTTCACAAAATACACCCATCAGGAAATTCTGAATTTATCCAAAAGTGCCATTATGATGATTTTTTTTAATGTCAAATTAATGTGTATTTTAAAAAAAAAACTTGAATTCCTAATTATTCAAAATAATTTTATGAATATGTTATTAGAATAAATGAATATTGATATAATTATTATTCAATAAATACGTGTGGTCAATGTTTTTATACATGGAGAGCGGAAAGGGGGGGGGGGTTACATGCAGTGAACTTTTTTCCCGAATTATGACAGAAGGCGGGAATGTAAGGGATTGCATGTGCTTGTCAGCGTCATGGCCGTAGGAACCGGGGGGCACGGGGGGGGGCGTGCCCCCCAATAAGTTTACCAATATATAGAATACTATAGAAAACTTAGCTACTATATGCTATGCTTGTGCCCCCTCAATAAAAACGGCTGATTATTTTTGTCAAGGAATTTTGATAGTTGATTAGTTGATAGTGCCCCCCCCCCCAACTGAAAATGTTTGGCTTTAATTAAAGGGGGTTACATGCATTTACGCCGCATTTAACGGTATCTAAAGAATATAAAAAGTAGCTGTGATTATAACATAATTTAAATCTATAAAAGTTACCTAGTTTCTTGTGTTTTATGTGCTTCTGTCTACGTGAAATTTAAGTATGTTTCTCTTATGTCTATATGTACATTCTATTTGTGCTAAATGTGTTTCTATGTTACTAGTCGGTAAAAGAGCTTTAAAGCTCATGTTTATTATTATTATTTTTATTATTATTTTTATTTTTTTTTTAATTTTTTTTGTTAAATGCATATAGTCCGACTATAAATAAAATTTACTTACTTACTTTACTTACTAGATGAGATCCCTCGAGCTATGCCCAATTCCAATAATACCTAAATTAATATCATTGATTCATACAAAAGGAAATTTTAAACACAATGTTCGTGATTTCGAATTCCAAGTAAAAATACGCAAATATACATGTACTGTATATGGAAGTTTTAAAGTAAGTAACATTTAAACTTTTTATCAAAACTGTAATTCATCAGTAATTGTGTTGCCTTAAAAATGCATTAAAAGCCCATGGCACTTTTTTTAAAGTGAGTGGGTGTAGCAAAATACTTTGGCAAGCAATAAAGTAAAAAAAGCCTATTTCAAAAAAATTTGAATTCTTAAATGGGGGGGGGGGGCACTTTGATTAAATTTCGGAAGTGTTTTGTTTTTGTTTTTTTTTTTAAAGAAGAAGTTGAGAAGATTCCAACATATTTTGTGCTAACTAAGACATTCTGTTCGAACACGTTTTAAAATTGTCAGACATTGATTTAAAATCTTCTGTACTTACAGGGATGGCTATATTGTTAATTTTGTTTTGAAACCTTTGCAAATAGTGTACTTGTGCAATACAAAATAGAAAGGTAGATGGGGAAAGAGTGATAAACTATAATCATTGATAACCGTTATCGAAGATTCGGGGGCATATATAGTTTTTGCTCTGCCCGTCCATCTTTATCTGTTTGTTTATCTGTCCGCAAAAACTTGAACCTTGCCCATCACTTTTGACTGGCTCAAGCTATTCCCGATGGTTTTTTTATATTTCACATGTGTATTCCTTGTGACAAGACCTTTCCTTGGGTACCAACATTTTTGACCTCTTGATCTTGACCTTATAGTTTGACCCACTTTTGCAAATTTAACCAAACTTTAAACTTGGCCATAATTTTTGAATGGTTAGTGCTAGGGCTTTCATACTTCACATGTGCATTCTTTGTGACAAAACCTTCCATTGGGTACTAACAATTTTGACCCTTTGACCTTGACCTTTAAGTTTGACCCACTTTTGAAAAAAAACTTTAACCTAGGCCATAATTTTTGAATGGATAGTGCTAGGGCTTTTATACCTCACAGATATATTTCTTGTGACAATACCTTCCCATGGGTACCAACAATTTTGACCATTTGACCTTGGAGTTTGACACTCTTTTGAAAAACTTTAACCTTGGCCACATCTTTTAAATGGTCGGTTCTATGGCTTTCATATTTCATATGTGTATTTCTTGTGACGAGACCTTCCCTTAGGGACCAACAGTTTTGACTTTTTTTTCCCCTTGCGCTCGGAGTTTGACCTACTTAACTATAATAATGACCATAACTTTTGTGTGGTAGTTGTGAGGGCTTTTATATTTCATGTGTATTCCATATGACAAGCCCTTCCCTTGGGCACTATTAATTTCGACCCTTTGACCTTGACCTTGGAGTTTGACCTACTTATGAAAAATTTTAGCCTTGGCTATAACTTTTGTACGGTTAATGCTAGAGTTTTCATATTTCACAAGTTTATTCATTGTGACATGACCTTTCTTTGGGTGCCAACAATTTTGATCTCTTGGCCTTGGAGTTTGATTTGTATTTGAGAAATTTGAACCTTCGCAATGAGCTGCCATACAGGGACATCAGTGTTTCACAAACGCATTTTGTTTATTGCTAGCGCTCTCGAGCGCTAGCAACTACGTTAGTCTATATTTCTGGAATACGCATGCTCAACTTCACGGTCGGGCATTCTGGGAAAACCACTGTAGATAGACTGTGCGATAACAATTTCGTTTTGTCATACAAATATAGATATGATCAGAATTAATATACACTAGCCTTTCCTGTCTGATATGTGCGATATACATTTCTTACGTTAGAGACAGGCAATACCAGTCTAGATCCGGTTCTGAATTTTTTTCTTATTTATTGCCTAACCTATACATACAGTCCCTGAAACGTTCTACTTTCCCATTTTTCCTTTCGCTCACCGTTCGTTCACCGTTCGTTCAGCGTGCGTTCACCGTTCGTTCACCGTGCGTTCACCGTTCGCTCTCCGTTCACAGTTTTGCGTTCAGCGTTCACCGTGCGCTCGCGTTCACCGTTCACAAAGCGTTCACCGTTCGCTCTTCGTTCGCTCACTTTGCGTTCACCTTGCGTTCAGCGTTCACTTATCGTTCAGTCTTCAGTGTCATTCGGAACTCCGAAGTGAAAGGACTTATCTTTTTTTAAGTAAGGATTTACAGGTTTTGAATTTAATAAATAACATACAGTGTTTAAAGAATCATTATTTCATGGGGGAAAAATTATCTACAATATTTACTTTTATTACTGTAACTTATCTGTTAGGTTATTTATAAAATTTATGTGGAAAATCAATGTTGTTATAAGTACATGTACATGTATGTACCGATGTAGAACGATGCTGAAAAATTAAATCTAAATACGGTCAAAATACTGATACTTCAAGTACTGCAACATTTTGCTTTTATGTTAAAGACGACAAATCGTAAATGGATAGATAGTAATCGAAGTCAATTAATTTACCACCTGCAACAAAAATACGAAAATATTTATTTCTATCACATTTTTTTCAAATAATACAGAAATACATGTTAGAACTTGTTCTGAGAATGATAAACAGTATTGCGGATATCCAGTTAATTAAATATCTTTAGAGCGAATTAAATTGATAGTGTGGTTAAAAAAATATATTTGTTTAAAATGTAATACATTAAAGAATTTTTTTCTACTTTACATATATAAAGTCTTTAATTAGAGAGAGAGAAATGCCTTTATAACATGATTATCATTTAAATAACCAAGGTGATTCTCCGATAATGATATTTTTCACCGTAACTTTATGTTTGTCATTCGATATTATTAAGAGCCCCCCCCCCCTTTTCCCCTAAATCGGTTACTTAGTTAGTATTTCCAGTACATTTTAGTTAACATTTAAAAAGAAGTTAATGTGTTTTGTAGCACAAAAATTTCAGTCCAAAACAAACATGCATCTAAACAAATTCATTAAACAATAGTAGTTCAAAATATACATGTGCCGGCAGTGATACATGTATTTTAAATTGGCAGGGAGTATGTTTCAAATTCAAGCGGCTTAATCATTCCAAGTGTTTCTTCCCAATGTATTTTATTTATTTATTTATTTTATTTTATTTTATTTTATTTTATTTTATTTTTTTTAGAAATGTTGGAATCAGATCTAGAAATGATAAGAAAAAATGTTAAAACTTCTTGGAAATACTAACACTTTGCCTTCGGTGTGACGAGACTTTCACACCTGCACAGTGTCGAATGATTTTGATTGACAGCCTGGGTCAAGCACGTGGACTTCGTGTGAACTTGAAGCAGGAAAATAAAAACCTTTTATGACTGTAAAACAAATGGATTTGTTGATTAAAAAAATGGATACTTTCACTGCCTGATATATTTAGAAAAGAATTAGAATTTTTGTTTGATATAGGTGCAAACATTTTAGGAGGGGGGGGGGCTAAAACCGAATCTCTCTCTCTCTCTCTCTCTCTCTCTCATTTGTCTGTTTAATAAAAACTATGCCAACATATTACTTAAATATCAAGTTGTGAAAATTTAATATATAACAAATAATATGATTGCTTCTTTGTATCATCTTGTCCGAGTATAATCACGGCCGGGAAATGTCTACAGATACATGTAGAAGTCCGCACAATAAATCATCATAAAAAAATAAAACTGACACATAAATATATTATTGCATTATAATTTTAAAATACGAGTGTATTTATGCAATAGGTCCACATACCTTTGTAAATTTTTTTTTTCTCATTATTTTACACGGAATCCCTTGTATGGTTGTTACAGCCGTTGTAATTCATTCTATAAGTCCGTAGTTTTCTCTTCTAAAATCCACATTATTTGCAATGGTTTTATATATCAAATAAAAATAAACATATTTATTTTACAACTAGATTAATTTCATCTGTTATACTACAGCGTTCGTTAACAAT